AGCCATCCACTTGTGGTATTTCTGTTATAGCAGCACTAAATAACTAAGACAGGAACACTGTACTGCTCGATAACAGAAAAAGAAATCAGGAAAGTCATCCTTTTAATCAGTGGCTTACCACTGAGGGAATTTTTCCCTGCACCTTCAATTACCCTTAAACATCGGGGAGAAATTATATTCCCTTCAATGGAGATCCCACCACTTTTCTCATAAACACAGGGGCCATTCACCATCAGTGCTTCTTAGTTTCTTCCACCTTCTCCCAGAGTTTAGAAATTTTTATCTGTGGTCTTGATAGTTTACTCCTCAAACTTCTTCTTTCAAAATCTATCTACTTCTCTAAGATCCTTTCTACCCAATGTAGATTTTGCTCACACCTACTACCTTAGTAAACCTTCTAGAAAGAGAAGTGCTCTCCAATGGAAACATCAATATTCTGTGCTCCCCAATGGGCTCATCCCGGAAGTTCCTGATTCTTCTTCACCTTGCTAGGTCCCTGTCTTAGTCATCTAGTGCTGCTATAACAGAAATACCACAAGTGGATGGTTTTAACAAGGAGAAATTTATTCTCTCACAATCCAGCAGGCTACAAGTCCAAATTCAGGGCATCGGCTCCAGGAGAAGGCTTTCCCTCTCTGTCGGCTCTTGAGGAAGATCCTTGTGATGCATCAGTCTTCCTTTGGTCTAGGAGCATCTCAGCACAGGAACCTCAGGTCCAAAGGACGCTCTTTGCTCCCAGCACTGCTTTCTTGGTGGTGTTATGAGGTTCCCATGTGTCTCTTCTTGCTTCTCTCTTTTATATCTCAAAAGAGATTGGCTTAAGACACTATCTAATCTTGTAGACCTCATCAATACAACTGCCGCTAATCCATCTTATTACATCATAGTGATTGTGTTTACAGCACATAAGGAAATCACATCAGATTACAAAATGGTACACAATCATACAATACTGGGAATCATGACCCAGCTATGTTGACAGATATTTTTGGGAGACACAATTCAATCCATGACAGTCCCCTTACCACTTTGATAAATTTCCCTCCCCTCTTAGTCCCTGTTACCCCATTTCACTTCATTTCTCCTCCAAAATCAATTCTATGCTGTTTTCTATCTTATGGGCAAAAACGTCTACAGGATTGTCCCCATATGAGATCATAACTAGGAGACTAATGAGAATTCTTTATCATTCTGGGCTTTAGATCATTCTAACTTGTCCGGTATCTACCTAAGTCTGGTAGCCTTAAGTATTGCCAAGGATTCATTAAATACACTCATGCTTACCATCAACAGGTCCAGAACTCTTGCACCACATTCACTTTCTCAACCTCATCAAGATTTCCAGGTAGGAGAGCTAGTCTTTTGGAAAGGACATCACTAGAAAACTAATCGTGAGCCCAGGTGAAAGACTTGACCTCATCTCTCGACTTTGAATATAGCTGTAAAACCACAGGGGGTTCACCCATTTACACCAAAAACGTATAAATCCTATTTCCAGTGAAAACACAACCCTGACAGATGATTTTAAACTGAAGCTCCTCTGGGACCCTTTTATAAGAAATAGTATTAATTTTGTTAGACTATGAAATATGTTTTCTCTAACAAATATGATAATAGCTAAAATTTAGTAAGAATTCACCATGTGCCAGAAGCTGTTGTAAGTGCATTACATGTATTAACTCAGGAAAGTATCACAACAATTCTTTGGGTAGGAACTACTGTTACCCCCTGGTATGTATGCTTTTATAATGTATAAGTCACCTATGTGTAAGTCAGTATTATGTATGCTTCTATAATGCTTTGTACACTGTCATGATGCTTTTTAAACACCTATGTATAATTCACTTATACTATGAAATTAGAAATAGAATCTCTGAACTTAGAAATGGAAACATGATACACTACTTCTATGATGGTCTCTAACCATTAACTGTAAGTCATTAGAAACTATAAGTTATTAGAAGGTTGCTCTAAACTTAGAAATAGATAATAGAAGTTGTGAAGTATGTAGTAAACAAGGACATAAATATGTCATATAACAACCTGCTTAATTTCTAATAAATCTCTGTAAATTGGCTTTTGGACACACACATGTCATGTTGTTGTTAGGTGTCGTCGAGTTGGTTCCAACTCATAGCGACCCTACATACAACAGAATGAACCACTGCCCAGTCCTGAGCCATCCTCACGATCGTTGTTATGTTCGAGCCCATTGTTGGAGCCTCTGTGTCAATATACCACGGACTGGTGGTGTAGTGGTTAAGAGCTACCTCTGCTAACCAAAAGGGTGGCAGTTCAAATCCACCAGGCGTTCCTTGGAAACCCTATGGGGCAGCTCTACTCTGTCTGATAGGGTAGCTATGAGTCTGAATCGACTTGACGACAATCCGTTTGGTTTTTTGGTTTTGGTCATACATATGTCATACACAAACCAAAAAACCAAACCCTTTGCCACTGAGTCAGTTCCGACTAATAGTGACTACCTTAGTCATCTAGTGCTGCTGTAACTGAAATACCACAAGTGAATGGCTTTAACAAACAGAAGTTTATTCTCTCACAGTCTAGTAGGCTGGAAGTCCAAAATCAGGGCTTCAGCTCCAGGGGAAGTTTTCCTCTCTCTGTCGGCTCTGGAGGAAGTTCCTTGTCATCAATGTTCCCCTGGCTGAGGAGCTTCTCAGGTGCAGGGACCCTGGGACTAAAGGACATGCTCTGTTCCCAGTGCTTCTTTCAATGGTATGAGGTGCCCCCCTCTTTGCTCACTTCCCTTTCCTTTTCTCTCTTGTAAGATAAAAGGTGGTGCAGGCCACACCCCAGGGAAATTCCCTTTATACTGGATCAGGGATGTGACCTTAGTAAGGGTGTTACAATCTCACCCTAATCCTCTTTAACATACTCTAATCTTGCCTCATTAACCACAGGCAGAGATTAGGATTTACAATACATAGGAAAACAATCACAAAATGGAGGACAACCACACAATACTGGGAATCATGGCCTAACCAAGTTGACACATATTTTGGAGAGACACAATTCGATCCATGACAGCGACCTATAAGACAGAGTAGAACTGCCCCGTAGGGTCTCTAAGGCTGTAATCTTTATGGAAGCTGACTGCCACATCTTTCTCCCGCAGAGTGACTAGCGAGTTCAAACTGCCAAACTCTGGGTTAGCAGCAGAGTGCTTAACCACTGTGCCATCAGGGCTCCTTATGTCATACAACTATTCCCTTACTTGGCAATAAAATATACTAATGATTCAAATCTCTGTATGGCCTTGAAACATAAATATGTCACTAAACAATTTCCTTAATTGACAATAAAACATACCAAGCATGGTTAAACATGACAGCACCTAACCCTTCTTATGAAATCAAGATGAAGATACTGTGAATAAACCCTTGATTTCTGCTCACTTGCTGGAGAAGAAAGCATGGACAAAAGGTCTCTTTGACTCTCACTCTCTCTGAAGACCGAGAGCCTGCTGACATATTGCCTGCCACAACTGACCTTGGACCCCAGCTACAGGGGACCTCCTGTGAGTTTGAGGAGTGGTCAAGTCTTCCTTACTGAGATGACTCATTAAAGGTAAGGCCTGAAGTCTAAAGATTTGAACTCTAACCATTAAACTAACGTTGCAATTATTGATTCTGAATCTCCAGTGCTAAATGAATGTCTTGAGGTCTTACTTGTGTGCCTCGCCATGACTACCCTGCAACAAACTAAGAGTTTATGCATGACAAACCTGAGCATTTATTTATTCTTAAATTAAAAATCCTCTAGGACACCCCCATTTTACAGATCAGAAAACTGAGGCAGAGAGAGGTTAAGTGATTTTCCCAAGGTTGTATAGCTAGTGAGTGGTAGAGCCAACATCTGAACCTCAAGGACAAAGAATACCCTGGCTCCTCCCATATCTGGAGAACCACCTCTGGTCTTTCCTCATTCCTATAATGATTAAGCGAAGATTCCTTTGTTTGCTTGTCCCTATAAAAACCCTAGTTAATATTCTTTTCTGTTATGTATTTATTGCATTAATGAATGTCATAGTGTGAATAAAATCATCTCCTTAATTGTTCAGATGCACTGTTATCTTTCACACCTGTTTTGCACTGGATTCTGTTTCCCATAAAGATAGACTGAAGTTCTGTGAATGTGATCTTGTTTGGAAATGTTATCATTAGTAGGAGATGTTATCAGTTAACAGGAGCTCATACTGGAGTAGGGTGGGTCCTAATCCAATATGACTGGTGTCTTTGTAAATAAGAAGAGACACAGAGACACAGAGAGGGAAGATGAACATGTGATGACAGAGGGAAGACGAACATGTGATGACAGAGGCAGAGTGGAGTTAATGCTGCAACTGCAAGGCAGGAACGCCTGGGTCTTCCAGAATCTGGAAGACAAGAAGGGATTATTTAAAGCCTTCAGAGCCATGCAAAAAAAAAAAAAAAAAAAAATCACCAAACCAAACTCAATGCCATGTAGTCATTTCGGAGTCATAGTGACCATCTAAGACAGAGTACAATTGCTCCAAAGGGTTTCCAAGTCTGAAAATCTTTAGAAAGTGGACTGCCACACCTTTCTCCCCTGGAGCTGCTGGTGGGTTCCTACCCCCAACCTTTTGGTTAGCAGCCCAGAGCATAAATTAAGGGCCTGGTTAACCAGTAAGCAAGGTATGCATGAGATTACAGTAAGCAAAGTATGCAGGGGCTTAATTGTGTTTACTTACCAATCCGCAATGTACAATTTCACATGGGTTTCACCACGTCATGTGGTGAAAAACAGTGAAATTGTGCACTACAGAATAGTAAATAAGCACAAGTAGACCTGTGTTTACCTTGCTTATTGGGTGATCCGTCCCTCTGGTCCTTCCTCATTCCCCTCTGGTCCTTCCTCATTCCCCTCTGGTCCTTCCTCATTCCCCTCTGGTCCTTCCTCATTCCGTAATGATTCAGAGGAGATTCCTTTGTTTACTTGTCCCTATAAAAACTCCTTTTCTTTGAAAACGTTCCTCTGCATATAGCCTGCAGACACCCTGGATTCGGACTCCTACCCTCTAGAATTGTGAGACAGTTAAGTTTCCCTTCTTACAAGCCACCCACTTTGTGGTACTTTTAAGGCAGCCTTAGGAAGCCAACAACAACAAAGGGAAACTATTACAGTACCTTGGTAGAAAAAAATTTGCCGACTCCAGCTCTAGATTCTTAGCCCTAGTTCTGAAACTAGAGCTTTTAGCATTGCTTAGAAAATAGTTAGAAATGCAAATTTTCAGTCCCACCCAAGACCTACTGAATCAGCAATTTTGCCGTGGTGCTGGTCAATCTCTTTTTAACAAGCCCTCCAGGCGATTCTGTTCAAGTTAAAAGTAGAGGACCACTGCTCGAGCCGGTTTATGTGATCAGATATGTGAGTGCGCTGTGTTAACCTTGGCAGACGTGCTGGAAGACCGGGATAGCCAAGGCCGCTGCTAACTTGGGCGGCACTAGGACCCGCGCGGCGTCAGCTTCGCAGCCGCCGTCATCGCCCGGGGCGGGGCCCAGCTGTTCCGGAGCTGGAGCTTCGTTGTTCGACCCGCCCCTAGAGGCGGATCTAAATTGACTAACTCTGGGGCTAAGGAGCCCGGCGGCGCTCTCCTAGATACGGCGTCTTCCTAGCTATTCGCACTCGGACTTCGTGCTCGTCGGTAAGTAGGGACGGGTATTTCGAGGCCCCTCACTCGGCATCTGGAGTTGCCAGCAGGGACGTGGGCGCGGGGATCCCGAGGTGCCCGCGGGGCGGGTCTGGGGGTGTGGCGGCCAAGCGCTTTTGTTCTGCCGGGGGGACGGAGCCCCAGGCCGCGGGCCTTGGCCCGGCTAGCGCGCCCGACCCCCGGGCGGTCGCCCCGAGCCCTGCCCTCCGGCCCCCAGCGCTCGCCGCCTGTCGTCGCCTGGGCGGGGTCCTGGCCCGCTGCCGACGCCGGAGCCCTTGATCCGAAGGGCGGCGCCTCGCTGCCTGTTTTCCTTAAACTGCTTCTTTACCAAGAGGTCGCGGGTGGCGAGAGCGAGTAATCATTTTGTTAAACTATGAGGCAGTTGGTTAGATGGGTGGTTGTGAGAGTTGCTTATGTTTTTTATTCTTCCTTGTCGCCGGAGCGAAAAGAATAAAAAAAAAAAAAACCTTTGTTTTGTGTGTACTATTTATCGAGCGCTCCTCCTCCTCCCGCGCCGTTTGTGCAGACCTCGCTAAACAGAATTGCTCCGCTTGCATCTCCGAGCGGCCCGCGAACGCTTCAGTGCCAGAGATGCTTTCTGTACCTCTGCAGTAGTTAGTTCCTCGAGGTATTTTTAAATGCGTGAATGCTTACCCATTTTAGATGTTCTCAAGGGACGCGAAAATGTCCTTAGGGTCTTGAGTTTAGCAGCAAGCTTTCGGGGGAATTGTAGGAGTACAATTAGTAATACTTTCAGTTCCTGCCTTCAAAATAAAGAGATAAGCAGGTGATGTGTGTGGGCTTCGGGGTGAATTTTAATAGGCAGACCGCATAGCTTGTTTGGGGCTTTTAAGTTTCTGCTAAGTCTGTTAGCTCTAAATCATGTTTAAGTTTTAGTCAGTAAATAACTTGCGGTATGTTAAGGTTTTACTTACTGATTTGTTTCCTGTACAAACTGGTTCTCTTAGTAAATCTGTTACATGTTCAAACTCAAGCTATAAATTTTGGCTAATCTCACAGAAACCCCCGACATTTTTCCAGGACTACTTTTCAGAGCTGCACAAAATTTATGCCACCTGTCCTGGGTAAGGTCAGACCTCTCTCTAGAGACAACGTACCCGCAGACGCAGACTTTGGAATGCACTAGTTGGGACCTAAGAGCCTGGTTTATATCAGTTTCCCAGTTAAACGTCCTTCTGACCCAGTGAACGGAAGCCAGCCAATCATAAAGCAACCCAAACCGGACGGTAACCAATGAGTTATCTTTCTACACTTTTATAATGCCTCCCCCCAAATTAAAGACCTTTCCCTTAACCAATCACTTAGAACTTTGTTAGTTTCCTCATTGTCTTTAAAACCTTTCCTCAGTTTCCAAAAAATGAGCTTCCTGCGTGTTAGGCACTATGCTAGCAGATTAATCGCTCAAACTTTGTTCAAAGATAAATAAAATTGCTAGTATAAGTGTTTTTATTTTGCAAAGATAGGACAGTAGTGGACCTAGAGGAGCACCCAAGAATTCCAGCTTAAAAAGTGAGTGATATTTTGGGGTCAGACCTAATTCCTACTTTTGATACTCAGCACAATTAAGAATTCACTAAACTTGCTGTGTTTTAGGTATGTTAAAGATTTTTAGAGGCAAGAGTTAAAATGGCTTCCCTGGGTCAACAGCCAAACAAATTAGTCATAAGGCCACTTTTAAGAAACAACAGCTTCACACAGAATCCAACATATAGGCAAGTTTTCCTTATTATCAACATGAGTTAATCCTTATCAGCATGAGTTAGCAGCATTTATCCTGTGGAGATAAGCCAGTTTAGCATTCAGTGACCAGCTTTCTCAAAACAAAAGGGAAAATAAATGTGACTAACCAATCAAATCTAAAGGTAAGATACTTAACCTAAGCTTTAAAAGGGCTTTGTAACTATTAACCCAGCCTGCTCACCATTTTCAGTTTGGGGTGCTCCCTATACAGTTTCTCACTCAATAAAACCAAACCTATTTCTGCCGAGTTCATTCTGACTCATAGCAACCCTATGGGACAGTTGAACTGTCCCATAGGGTTATAGGGTTTCAGAGGAGCCGCTGGTGGATATGAACGGCCAACCTTTTGGTTACCAAGCCAAGTTCTTAACTACTACGCTGATAGGGCCAATCTCAGTCAATAAACCGTGCTAACTCTAATTGACTTGATCAGATTTTTCAATAGGTGCAACCTTAAGTAACCCAGTTAGTTATCTAATTGCAATGTCATATCATGTAACAGATTAGCATGTGCCTCTTATTAATTATAAAATATTTCTTGTTTGTTCTTAGGACCAAAGAAGTGTGTATGTGAAGAGGGAATTGACATGTCTGGAGTGAAACAGGAATATACAATAATTGAATGGTAAAATTGTATTTAAAGGTAAGCATGTTAACCTCTGAGAAGTCTACACTGATTTAACTAAGTAATCATTCACATACTACTGAGATATAGCCCCCTAAAATTTAAATCTGTGGGGCACTTAACTGAAGAATGACTGCTTCTGGGTCTGAACTCAAACTCCATTTTGAAAAAGGCTGCTCTACTCTAAGAAGTTAACGTTTAAACAGATTTAATCTGGTATCTAAGGAAATGTTTTCTTTTGTAAGCAAGCCATGCAAGCTGCTCCCAGGAACTACATTGTACAAGAAAGCTACATCAGCAGAAAAGAATGTCCTGTGATCGATTTGTAACCACTCTGTAAACCCCCTATAGTCAACAAGTGGTAACGAAACAAAGACTTTTTAAATCAATCATGTAAACCCACATATGTTACATTCACCAATCACTGTAAACCACCTCCCCACATTTGTTAACCCACATTTGACTTTTACAAATCACTGGTAAGCCAATCATTATATTATGTTGTTAGTTTCTGGTTTAATAATATAAACATTGCCTGGATGCCTGTGACTTCTCGGAGCACATAGTTCCACTTTGTGGACTCTGCGTATCCCCAGTTTAAACTGTCTTGCTCTCAATAAAACTCTGCTTTGATTGAACAGAGTACGTAGTGTTACTCTTTGACACTACTTTGGAATAATTTATCTGCTGAGGAGTGAAGTTACTAACTCAAAATATTAACTCGGTGTTGGTTAAAAATTGAAGCAACTATGGGACATGATTTGATGACAAGGCACAAGAGGTGATAATATTGTTGACATCTTGCTAGGTGCTGGCGAGTCCATTCCAACTCATAGCTACCCCATATGACAGAACTGCTTCATGGGGTTTTCTTGACTATAATCTTCACAGAAGCAGATCACTAGTTCTTTCTCCTGTGGAGCTGCTGGGTGTGTTTGAACTACCAGCTTTTTGGTTGCAGCCGAGTGCTTAATTTTTGACACCAGAGCCCCTTTATTGTTGATGTACTGTCAATTCAGTTGTCCATCTTAGGAGGATAAGGAAGAAGAGATTGTTTATGGTGAGATGATTAAAGTGGAAGTTACCCAAGCAGAGGTCTATTTAAGATTATTTACTATTAAAAAAACAAAAAACCCAGAAACAACAAAGAAACCTATCCCAAACAAGTTGATTCCAACTCATGGTGACCCCATGCGCTACAGAGTGGAATTATAGGTTTTCCTTGGCTGTAATGTTTACTGAAATCAGATTCTGTATACCCTGTTAGTTTCATTGCTTTCTCTATTATTATTCTGGCATCTAGGGTGGGGGAATGCAGCACAGAGCACCACTCTGGGAGAACCTTCTGCTCCATGAGATACCAAGCTATACAGCCGAAGTGTTCTGATGATGAATATCTCCTAGGCTTCCATCCTGTCTTAATTACATATTATTGCTGTAACACACATACCACAAGAGGGTGGCTTTAAGGAACAGAAATTTATTTTCTCACAGTTCTGTAAACTAAAAGTTCAAATTGGGGTCGATTCCTTGCTTGTTGGTAGCCCTGGGGGGGCCTTTGGGAGTCCCTAGTGTTCCTTGGCTTGCAGACACATGGCATCTGTCTTTCCCTATGTCTCTGTCTCCATGTCTATTCTGATCTCTATAACTCAGAAGTGATTAGGTTTAGAATCCACCCTAACTATGAACTCAACTGATTGATTATATTATATTGTACCGCAGAAGATGATTACATTGCATTGGCTTTAGATATAAAGTTATTATACTACATTCAATTACATTATGTAAGGAAATCCCCCCTACCCAAGGCCAGTTGATTTAATCTCATATAACTACTCCATGACAACTAGACTAGTGTTGGCCAAACTAGTCTATTTTTAATATTTAAGATCATAGCCCTTGCAGTCAAGCCACTGAGGTTCAGATCTTGGCTGTACCACTCATTCCACACAATGATGGAAAAATTACTTAACCTCATCCACCTCATCTGTAAAATGGAGATAATAGTAATACCTTTTAATATATATAACTTAGAACAACTTTCAATAGTTTTAACATTATGTCGAGTGCTCAGTAAATTCTAGATAATATGTTTGTTAGAGGAAATATATTTTAGTCTAAAACAATTAACACTATGTCTTATTGGAAATTGTGTTTGCTCATTTAAGCTCTAAATCAACTCATAAGCTTTGTGTTGATCAAACCCATCACTGTATTTTCTATTGTACGTTCTTTTTAGCCAGGGAGTACCAAACACTACTTTGGTTTTTACCTGCAAGCTTTTTTTAAATCAAGAACGCTACCAATAAATTCACTTTAGCCAGGGCAGAGTTGCCTTTAAGTTTTATTCTTCCACACTACTTCTGTGGCTGTACTCACCTGATGGCACTCTTATTTGTTTCCTTGATTTCCCTTTTAGATTATCAGTGTCTCCTATACAATAGGATCTCAGATGCCTCAGAAATTGATGGAAAATGTTTTTGTTTTAAATAATTGTTTAAAAATGTATTTATAAAAGTAAATTTAAAGAATGCTTACTTTGTCTAATTATGTTAAATAGACCTCCCCCCCACAAAAAAAAAATGGAGGCACACTCCTATGTTAAACAGACAATGGAAAGCATTTAATTTGAGATGAAGAGAGAACAGGTTGTGAAATCAATTTTTCAACTCTGGTTATACAAATGCAAGTTAAAATTTACTTTGTAAGAAGGCTTGTAAAGAAAGAAGTAATCATGTGGGCCTTGAAGAATTCTGAATGCTTTGTTGGGATTCTCCTTATCAGAATAAGGAAGAGGTAGCTATGCAGTGCTTACATTCTTGTGACCCTAAGTGTACTTATAAATTAAGGGTAGCAGAGTTGGAGGTCTCACGTGAGATTAAACCCAAAAAACCCAAACCCGTTGCCATCTAGTCGATTCCAACTCAGAGCGACCCTACAGGACAGAGTAGAACTGTCCCCATAGGGTTTCCAAGGAGTGGCTGGTGGATTTGAACTGCCTGCCTTTTGGTTAGCAGCTAAGCTCTTAACCACTGCACCACCAGGGTCCCCAAGTGAAATTAGAACTATACATTTTTCCACTCGGAGTTACAATGGTTGAAAAGATTTAATTACAAGAGCTGAGATTCTCTTGAGATGTAACAAATTTGAGGCTTCTAACAAAAGACCACAAAGTATGGGTGGCTTTAAAGAACAGAAATTTATTTCTCACAGTTCTACAGGCTAGAAGTCAGGAGGGCTATGCACTCTTCTTTGTCTGTTCTAGGGGGTCATCTTTCCTTATTCTTTACAGTTTCTGGTATCCTGGGCATTCCTTGGCCTGTAGACCAGATCCCCACATGTTGTCTTACCCCATTTGGCACTGTGTCTTTTCTCCCTTTATAAGACACCGCTCAGAAGGGTTTAGTACCCACCCAACTGTATTAACTGATAACAGCTACAAAGATGAACCTTGTATCCCCAAACAAAGTCACGTTCACAGGTAGGGGGAAAAAAAAACAAAAAACCTGTTGCCTTCGAGTTGTTTCTGACTCATAGTAACCCTATAGGACAGAGTAGAACTGCCTCATGTGGTTTACAAAGAGCACCTGGTAGATTCGAACTGCCAACCTTTTGGTTAGCAGCTGACCTTTTGGTTAGCAGCTGTAGCTCTTAACTATTACACCACTAGGGTTTCCATTCACAGGTACAGGGGATAGGATTTCGATGTACCTTTTTGGAGGACACAGTTCAGTCCATAATGGAACCTCATTGTGTTTTTGATTTGTATTTCCCTAATGGTTAATGATGTTGAACATTTTTCATGTGCTTATTGGCCAATTGTATATGTCCTTTGGCAAAGTGTCTATTCAAATTCTTTGCCAGTTTTTAAATTGGGTTGTTTTTGTACTGAGTTGTAAATTCTTTATATATTCTGGATACTAGTCCCTTATCTGGAATACCATTTGCAAATATATGTCTTATCCTGTGGATTTTCTTTTCACTTTCTGGATAGTATCTTTTGCAGCACCAAAGTTTTTAATTTTCAGTAAGTCCCAAGTTATTTTTTCTTTTGTCACTGTGCTTTTGATGTCATCTAAGAAACCTAATCTAGGGCCATGAATATTTACATCTGTATTTCTTCTAAGAGGTTTATAGTTTTAGCTCTTACATTTAGGTCATTATCAATTTTAAATTTTCCTATGTGTTGTGAGGAAAGGGTCCAACTTCATTTTTATCCAGTTGTCCCAGCACCATTTGTTGAAAGGACTGTTCTTTCTCCGGTTTGGTAGTATTGGTCACCTTGTCAAAAATCAATTAAGCATAAATATAGTGGAATCTTGTAGACTTGGATTTATATTCCATTGATCTCTGTGGTTGTGGTTGCACCACACAGTCTTAGTTTCTGTAGCTTTGAAGTAAATTTTGAAATAGGAAACTTTGAGTCCCTCAACTTTGGTTCCTTGCAGTTCTGTATGAATTTTAGGATCAGCCTTTACTGTTCCACAGACAAGGCCTTTAGAATTGAATATGTAGATCACCTTGGGGAGTATTTCCATCTCAACAATGTTAAGTCTTCCAATCCTAGAATGTGGGATGTCTTTCCATTTATTTAGGTCTTTTATGGAGCAGTTCTGTGCATTCTAACACATGAAGTTGCCATGAATTGGAAATGACTCAATGGCAATGTTTTTTGTTTTGGTTTTGTGAATAACTGGTTTTAAATATTCTTTAAATGTTTGATAAAATTCATCAGTAAAGCCATCTGGGCTTGGGATTTTCTTTGTGGGTAGTTTTTTGAATACTCACTCAGTCTCTTTGCGTTATAGGTCTGTTTAGAGTTTTTATTCTTAAGTTAGTTTGGGTCCTTGTGTCTTTCTAGGAATTTGTCCATTTCATCTAATTTTTTGGCATATAGTCGCTAATAGTATTTCCGTATAATCCTTTTTTATGTCTGTAAGGTCGGTAATGCCCTTCTTTTGATCCTAATTATAGTACTTTGTCTTCTCTTTTTTTCCTGATCAGTTTAGCTAAAGGTT